GGATGCAAAATTATACGTTTTTTGCCAATGGATCAGGTCCCTCACTGTAGCTTGGGAGCGGGGACAGGGGCGGGTGGGGAGGTACCCCCAGGCCGGGGTCAAAAAATGGTAGGGGGGACCAAGGTAATTTTTTACAGTATGACCTCCCCCCTCTGAATTTCTGGTCAGCTACACCCCTGTCAAGAAGGGCTAGTATCAGTCTGCCGGGAAAATAAAGAGCAAAATGTCGCACCCAAAAAAGCATTGCCGCCGAGAAAATGAATTGTGTCGCGGCAAAATCAAATTGCTTTCCACTTTAGTGCCGCGATTGTCACAGCGACATTTTTTTACTTTTTTCCCGGATTTTTCAATAACTCTATTCTTTGACCAATTTTTTACAGCTATTTTTCGAAATAGTCGTTTTATAATATAGTAGGATGTTTCGCTTCGACCAAACTTTGTTTTCGAAAATACGAAAAAATGCGTAGTTAGACTCACACTAAGCCGAGTTCAACTTCCTCCAGGAAGCATTAATTATTATGTTGTTCAAACATTTCGGACCCTAAATTGAAATAAGCCAAAGAACAGGGAATTTATTGGCCAAAGAGATCGTCTTATTGCGGCTAAAAAACCAACAGCTACAGTAAGCTCTCAAAACATAGACTAATTTCACCTCAATGAGTCTCTTGTAAACAACTTGAAAGTTCAAAGGCACAAATAAGTTGCAAATTATACTCTGCCGTTTAATCTGCTCTCTGTAACGAATACGTACAGACTAATCAGATGTTGTAAGTGCACTTGAACCGACAAATTCGAATGTTTTCGGAAATGCGGAGCTATTTCGAACACGTGTTTTGGTCTGTTGAAATAGTAGATCTTATACGGGTTGTGCTCGAAGAGCAAAGCTCAGATTTTGATGAAGCTGGGCGCAGATTTAGAATACTCTTTTCTAAGGCATATGCGAGACCCCTACATAGCTTGCAGTTTGTAGAAAAAAAACAAATTTTTCAAGCCAGTTTACAAAATTCACAAATTTTCAGCGTTTAAAAAGATACTGTAAAGTAATTCCTGACCATAATTCTCGGTCTTCGAAAGTGGATTCCGCGAAAACTGCGCGTGCGAGAGGTTAAAATGGGATTAATTAGCCACAAAAATTAAGAGTAAACAGGGGAATTTCTGGTTCAATTTTCAGTTGTAACAGGAATGTTACAAAAAGGTGGTTTTTGCGCGTGATTCCAATGCTTTGCTTTTTAATTTTTGAAAAAATAGAGTATGAAAATTTTGATTTTTTTTTTGAGAATTTTGCTTACAGAGGCTAGACACAAAAAATTTACCTCCTGGAACATCTTAAGAGTCAATTTTAGGCCTCTATTCGAGAAAATATCCAACAAATTTTCTTTTTTTTGTTTTTCGACGATTCCGCGACCTTCCGTCAAAAATCAATTTTCAGAAGCCTCAGGGCTTTCATTTTTTAATACTATAGGAAATAATTGTGCAGCACAATAGGAAAACATTTTCTATTTTTTCAGGAATGCGGTTTCCACCTACGCTTCTTGCATTTTAGGAAAAATAAATCACCGGTCTAGCATAATACAATAAAGCAAAACAAATGGAGGAAAACATAATTCGAGCCTTAATCTGGATGTTTTCTTCTGCGTGGCTTCTAATCATATTATCCAAACAGAATAACATGAAATTGGTCAATCAGCTGACATCTTACAGTAAAATAAGATTAAAAAAATTTGTGTAATTTTGGGCAAAGGGAGGAAACAACTAAAAACTCGCTGTGCAGAGTTTTCAGTCGTATATCGCGCGACATAAACAGCTTGAGTTCAAACTGGAAATTTTATGGCAAAAAAGTGTTTTTCTTTGTGATTACTCTAGGTTAAGAAAGGAGCGTCGATACCAGTGCAACAAGCCTGCGCGACCGAGTTTTGAGGATTTTCCCACGAGGAATTGTCTACATTTATTCAAATTTGATTCTACTTTCCTACGTGGGGCCTCCCTATAAAAGGTCTCCTTTCCACTGAATAAATCACTTGCCTCTTGAGCTCTCGTCTTGTCTCGTTACTGGGTTGTCGACAAAGTCAAAATTGCAGCGTCAATCGTGACGAAAACAATGAAACACCGATCGCATCGCTGAAGTGAAACGCGATTTAATTTTACCGTGGCACAATTCATTTTCTCGGCGGCGATGCGATTTTTGATGCGACAAAGCGCTCATTATTTTCCCAACAGAATGATATGCTCGCCGCACGGTATTCTGCACTTTTGGGACACAACCGGTCTCCCCGATTTTTTTCTATTTTTTCAAAGTGGACCTCCTTCTTTAACACATTGCTCGCTAGCCGTGCAAGATAGAGACTTGAAAATTGGCATGGACATAGAGTAAAGGTTCCTCTTCCAGAATATATAAATATTGTAATGAACCGCGCGCTGCAAGCTCCGCAATAAGATGCGAAAGTATCTCATTTTTAAAGCTTCTGGCACCTGAAAGGTCATTTTGCGGGTCACTGCGAAAATCGCAGAAAAAGTGCATCTTGACCCAAAAAAATATACCTTTAGATACTGTAGCAACAACAAAATGTCCATACTGTTTTTTTGTACTCATTCTGCGCAAATTCTCTGAGCCTCAACTTTTTGTCTTTGTAGCCAACGTAGATAGATATTGTGAAACGTGACTTCTGTCAAATTCAAAACCGTCCATTTCCCAATATTCCCCACAAATTTGTGTTTTATCCCACTCAACTCCGTATCCTACGTTCCCCAAGTGGGCATGGAGACTCCTCCGAGCGCGGATATCAATATTTTTCAGCAACGTCTTCTAGACACTTGAATACAATAAAATCTCGACTACAGAAGCTTCCAAAGTATCAGTCTGCCGGGAAAATAATGAGCACTCTGTCACTTCGAAGATCGCATCGCCGCAGAGAAAATGAATTTTGTCGCGAAAAAATCAAATTTCTTCTCAGTTCAACGACGCGACCGGCGCAGCGACATTGTGCTCATTGTTTTCCCGACAGACTGATGGCTTGCATTTCGATCTAAAAATACTAACTATCAGTTTGTCGGGAAAATAATGGCGGATCGTCGGGCCTGGGAATTGCCCATCATCACTGTGTGCCGGCCCCGGAAGCTGGAGATTTGATGTGCGACTTGCACTTTTTTTCGACGACGGGACACATTTTCATGCGACGTTATTTTCCCGACACCGACAGAAAAATTAATTTTTTAGTCATCAAATTGTTTTTTCTCTTTTTTTACATTAAATCTGGATTTGAATTGGTATCATTCTGTCAGGAAAATAATGAGCACAATGTCGTGGCCCCAATCACGTTGCTGAAGTGAAAAGCAATTTGATTTTAACGCCACACAATTCATTTTCCAGGCGGCAATGCGATTTTCTATGCTACGTAATGCTCGTTATTTTCCCGGCAAGCTGATATCACTTTAAACGAGTGTAACTTTCGAATACTTCGAATAACAAAGGAAAAGCACAGTGGTAGCCTTTTCTTCCACGCGGTGGTCCGGCTACAAATCGCTAATGGGTCGCAAAATCTCCGAGTGTGGGTGTGGACTACAACCCGCTCTAAAGAGCACGATACAAACCCTTTGTATTGCAACAAAAGTGCTTTGGGATGCTGTGGAGGCCCTCCGGTTGTAGCGGAATCATTTGCCATTTAGAGCATGGGAGTTGGAAAAAATGTGAAACTTCAGACATATATCTAAGGTCAATGGAAAAAGTTTTGCGATGCATGGCAAAAGAGCGCGTGACTTCGAAAAACGTTGGATTTTTGGGAATTTTGTCGATTGCACAGTGGGAAATAGTAAAAAAAGGGGGTTCGGCCAAGTTTCCGCACAGTGCGACTTGTGTTCTGCGAAAGTGGCGACGTAAGGGCACGCGGAGGCCAAGTCTTTTCTGAACCGGCCTCCGCCAGGCTGATAGATCACACAATATCAGTCTGTCGGGAAAATAACGTGGACTGGTTGCGCGTTCTGAGAATCCTTGTCGTTTCTTCACAGCGCGAGCAGGTCTCGCATATGTTTTAGAAAAAAATTTTTAATTTGTTCAAAGCTTCATCAAAATCTGTAGGTCAGACATTTGAATCTAATATCATTTTGTAATAATATCCCTCCTCCAACCCAAATTATCGATTTTTTCCCCAAATTTCCGGCTTGTTTGACAAATTATTGTTGTATACCTAATTGTCTACGCTGTTTTTTAACCAAAACTTATCACTTTTTTTGTATTTTTTCCGATTAAAAGGACAAAAATTTATTTACAAAATTAAATTTGAATTAATTTTTGATTAGAAAAAATGTTTTCAGCTCATTAATTACAGTAGTTTTTACTTCCAAAAAAAGAATGTCATAAGTCGAAGCTTCACGTCAAGCGGAAGTAAAGCAAAATTTTTGGGATTAAGCTTAATTTTTTTGAACTTTTCAAAAGCTTTCCGAAATTCGTCAACGTTTTTATTCGAATTTTTATGACTTCTTTAATGGAATGATAACTACGTAATGCGACTGTAAACTGTCGCGGACTTATTTTTATTCTGCAAATTGTTACCATGAGTTTTGATTCTGTAAAGGAGGTAACTTGCGCTTTTCAGAAACGACCGAGATTTCTAGGTGGAAAGATGGCAAAAATGCGACATTTTTTAACGAATTTGTTTTCCGTGAAAAACTTCGTACATAGTGTAATATTTCTCCGTAGTGTACATTGTTTTCACAAAGCACTCAAATTTTTCCCCGCGACACTGACAAATATATGACCCAAAAAGTCAAAAAAGATTTTTTCTGCTTCGCTATCTTCATTTTTTATTATTTCTCCCCTACAGTTCTCTGAACGAATTAAACATCATAAATCTGCAAAACTTTTTGCTCCGCGGCCCTTATTTTTCAAGTCCTTCTTAACCGAATTTCAATTTCATTAACAACGTTAAGCTTAATTTGCGAGTATTGTCAACAGCCTTGACTTTTTCCAAATCATTTTTCGAGTTCAATTAGGTTATCTTGAGGCCATGCGATTTCGAATTGCGTTAGCCGCAGGTAAGTGGCATTCAAGTGCGGGCTGAGGACAAAACATAAATTAGAGTTCAGTAACAAGAGAGGGGATGAGTTCAAAGTCCCGAAAGGCTGAGAAATCAAGTGTTTTTTTGGAAATTTTTGCCAGTGTAATAATCGAACAAGGGAAGCCGTGCGAAAACACACCACCGCTACGCTACGAAAGGAGCGGTCAAAGGAGACCACATCAAAGGAGATCAAGATTAATGGCCACTTGCCTGCGTCAAACACCGAAGAAATAATGATCGATAACTTCCGGATTACGCAACCGAATGAGACTCAGAAGAAACTGTGTAGATAAAAACTAGGTTTGGAATTTGCTAAACCCAAAGTACAATAATCGAAGCCACTATATAAGTTGCCCTCGAAGTCAATCGAGGAACCTTCCACAATAACTCTTGTAATTATTCTCTCTAATAAGCTTTATCTAATTCTCTAAAGTCGACCACGAAAAAGGGAATCTATGTAATTGAGCGGCGCCACACCCCGCGACTACCCCACCTGGTGCCCGAGGCCGACCTACCCATATGGGACGTGAGAACAATCATCCTGCTCAATACCCCGTTGCAAGCCCGCCCAACAGTGATCGCAAATCTATCCTTACCCCATTGGGGTATCAACCAAGCCACGGAAATTGTTCAACTCAAGGCCGTTCAGGTCTGCTCGCGTGACCCGTTTGCGCTCCGCGAACTTCTGGAGCCGCCTCAGCCCACGGCGGTTCTCATAGATCGCGAGTTAATGGCCTCGGCCGAACTGCAAAGGCTCATACACGTGGCAAGGATGCAACAACTGAAGCTGGATATCAACCCGCCAAGACGAGAACGAAAGGGCCCCTTCTATTCTGGAACCACTCGAAGACACCATCGATTCGAATTCGACATACATAATTTGGGGAACACATTCCTGCTACAGACAGTGACCATGCTCTTCCTGCTCGAAGACCAGGGGCTAATATGTATATTTAGCCCCGGGTACTTCGAGCATGGCCCAGCGTGTGCGCCAGGAGGACAGCGAAGGAGAGATAGCCTGGTACTACGAGGCAGCACCACTTCCCACGGCTTCCCTTGTTCGACTATTACACCAGCATTCGGTTAGAAAATCTCGACGGCTTTGGTAGAGTGTCGAGAGGCCCGAGGAGACAATCACACGACAAGACGAGAAGCTCGAGTTCAAGTGATTTATTGAGTAAAAAGCGGCCCTTATATAGGGAAATGACACATAGGAAAGTGCAATTAAATTTGAATAATAAATGATGATTTCCGTGAAAATTCGGGTCGAAGTTCGGTCGTTCCGCCTCACATAGAGAATGGGTTAAAAACCTTGATTCGACTGCTCCACAACTTCGAACTTTGACGATCTCCTCTTTTAACACTCGTCAAAAAATTCGACTTTCCACAGCAGATAGTCACACGAAACCTACAAAAATCTTTTTTTTGTCTTTCCGTTCGCATCGTAAACTTTGAGATTTTTCGAACACAGCTGAAATTTACAAACTTGCAAAATTTTGTTTTCGAAAACTTGGAACAGAGATCTAAACTCCGAATTCTAGCTTGTCGGAAATACCACGCACCATAGGGCACTCGAACACCGTGACTTTTGGAAAGCTCAATCTACGTTGTTCTTGAGTTTTGTGGCCACAAGTGTCCGGACAAAATTTTTGTACGCCTCAAATGTCGGAAGACAACTCGAGTACCCGGTCGGCCACAAGTATAAAATCAGAGGGGTACAAGCTCCAATGCAATAAAAAACTGTAGTGAGAAAGCTAAGAGCAGAACACATTGTAGTTTGAAGGCGGAAGATGGAGTTTGTCAATGTGGAGGACAAGACAGAAACATTAAACGGCCTTAGGAGGAAGTAATATCATATCAGTCCGTCGGGAAAATAATGTGGATTTATGGCGGCCTGGAGCCGCCCATGTTTGCTTTGCGACGGCGATCTGCGACTAGAGGTTTCGTGCGGCAAACCCAAATTTTTTTCCCGACAGATACTTGGAGAGCTGATGAAATGGTCTAACGGTGATCAAACATATCCAAACTAAGCCACAAAAGGTATCAAAGTTTGTCAAGAAAGATACTGCTGATCATGGAGAACATGGATACATGAAAAGGGGTTAAGACATTTTCTGAGACATAGTCCTCCCAAAATGTCCAGCTCTATAACGAATTTTTTTTTTCGTTCTGTGATCCTCGTTGTACAGAGAGAGGGCTGGCTGTATTCTGCGGCGATACAAAACGGGGAACGTTTCAAGCTTGTTTCAAATTTATAGTATAAAAAAAAATTATGTTGTTCTCAATGATGGCTTGTTGAAAACTGTGTAAAAGTTTAGCTAATGACATACAACTATAGCCTCCAAGAATGCCGCTGCACCAATCGCTTCGCTGAAGTGAAGAGCAATTTGATTTGGCCAAGATACAATTTAGTTCGCGACAGAGTGCTCATTACTTTCCCTACAGACTTGTAAAATTTCTTTTTCCTTCCAAAATTGGACTTTCTCCTCATTCCCAGTACCTTATTGTTAATACCTAGCACAATACGGCCACAAACTCCATGGATTGCCTGCCCTTTCCGTGCCGCGGGCTTACTCACAAGACCTTACCAATAATCACCCTCAACTTCATTATTCTCTTAATCCAATTCCACCCACAACCCGCGACTGGAAAATAAAAGTAATACAATAAGGCGAGCAAATCCGATTTTTCAAATAATTCGTATTCATTTTATTACTGTTCGAAACAAAATAAACATCTGTAAACCTGAGAGTGTCAACAATTTTCAGCCCGTATAGAGAATGGATAATGTGAAAACGGAAATGTTTTTTGAGGTATTTGGAGCGCCCAAACCGCAACGAATGTAAGGCGATTACAGGTTCGCAATTTAAATTGGATTTAAATTGTAATCGAGGGATTAGACAGTACACCGTTTGCAGGCGCCGTAACAACAATATGTGCGTTCTCGGAGGGTGGGGGTTTTGATATGGACAGAGCGGACGAGATTCTTGGGAATAAATTAGCAACATCAGCGGAGTTTTGATGATTTTTGGCAAAAGCTTTAAACAAAAGTGCTAAAATACAAGGTTTTCTGTTATTTCAGATACTGTACTGTTAGATACAGTAACTGCTAAAACATGAAAACGAGATTTTTCGGATGAAAAAACAATTTCTTCGAAAAATCCCAAGGAATTTTTGTTGATGCCAAAAATCATTTTAAAACTCCACTGCATGACATATGTAACAAAGTAAAGGCAACATTGATATGCAAAGGTGATTTTGAAACCATCTAGTGACAGATCCACAAGCAACGCCGGCTTCAGGAGCCATCCGACATTAAGGTGTCAAGTGTAATATCAAAAGTCCAAACTGATGTTCCGCAGCTCCCAACGGTAGCAAGGACCATCAGAATATGTAGAACGTAGACTATATGTAATAGTCCGGTAGTCAATTCATCCTCAACAAGATGTTCTTCATCGCTGAGCGCATGTTTTTCTGGTGGTATCGCTCGAACGGGCTGGTCTGCACGCCGAACCCGATGACATGCGCGCGGTTCTGCGTGGCCGGCGCTCGTGACGCGGATTTGATGAAGGTAGCCTTAATGGGCAGGAGACGGTCGGAATTTGTGATCTGATGAATGGAGCGGCGTTTCTCCGACGTCTCCGGTTGGGCCTTGTAGTTGGCGCCGAGGCGGTCCATCAAGTTGACGTGGCGTCGTTTCGCGTGCACTGGAGATGCGGCGCTGCTGGTGAGGAGGGAGAGGAGGACACTGAAAATATTTTGAGGTAAAATACGGATGATTAAGGAAGTGTCAGAGAAAAATAATTTGTTTTTTTCTAATTTCCTAGCGTTCAAAATGCAAAAAAATGCCTATAATAATCAATACTGATATTGAAATTTAATTTAAACCCCTCCAAAAATATTTTTAATGTACTAAAAAGTACTGTAACATAAATATTTCCGATTTTAACAAAAATTTTTTAAAAATCCAAAAATTTTAAAATCAAAAGATCTCATTTCCAAAGCCACAGTAACCCACAAAAATAAACCCCAAGAAAACTACAGCCCAATCCATGAAATACTTACAGTAGGCCGAGGAAATACACGCCCATGGAGAGGACTTTGGTCTGCATTTTTCGTACTGTAACAGGCGAATTCTTTAGCGTCGAACAAGAATAATGTGGGCCGGCGCACCGAAAAAGCCTTTTATATGCACGCAGCATGGGCCCACCCTCTTTCCCCGCGAGGCCATTTCGGGCCCGCAGGGGTTTCGCCCGATTCCCAAATTAAGGCGGGGCGTGGCTTAAAGGGGCGGCCAAACTCGGTGCAAAATACGGATAAATAATCGCAAAGGGCGGAAATAATAAACAGCTCGAAACCTTTGGAGCACGGTAGCATCGCGGATAAACATGGGAAATAGGATTGGGAAATCGCGAGATTATGTTAGACTGGACATTAGACCAGACCAGATGATATTTTTGGCCGGTTTGGTATAATGTCGGGATGGGAATGGATATCCGAGATGGTTTGAAGGTAGAGTAAGACTTCTATTTTCTTACTGTAGACTTTAGATGACATAAAATTGCGATTTTTAGATGATAAATTGAAATTGAAAGAATTGCACAGTGCGGAGAAAAAATCAAAAAATAAAAAAATAACGATAATAAAATTGGTGTTACAGTAATCTACACTGCCTCGAAATTTCGCTATAAAGCAGAAAGAGCCGTATTTTACTCCATTTCCGCAAAAATATCATATTTTTCATCAAAATTAAAAATTTGCACAGTGCGGCAAAAAACAAAAAATTCAGAAAAAGGAAAACATAAAATTGATGTTTCAGTAACCTGCAGTGCCTGTCGTGCCTCGAAAATCATGGTTAGAACTATAACACCCGTATTTTACCCCAATTTTTTATAAAAATATCATATTTTCCATCAAAATTAAAAATTTGCACAGTGCGGCAAAAACATCAGAAAATTCAAAAAAGCCATAAGCCAAATTGATGTTACAGTAACCTGCAATGTCTATTGTACCTCGAAAAGTTTTGTTTCAACTGGAGCACCCGTATTTTACCCCATTTTCTACAAAAATATCATATTTTCATCGAAATTAAAAATTTGCACAGTGCGGCAAAAACTCAAAAAATTCAGAAAAAGAAAAACATAAAATTGATGTTTCAGTAGCCTGCAGTGCCTGTTGTGCCTCGAAAATTATGGTTAGAACTATAACACCCGTATTTTACCCCAATTTTTTATAAAAATATCATATTTTCCATCAAAATTAAAAATTTGCACAGTGCGGCAAAAACATCAAAAAATTCAAAAAAGCCATAAGCGAAATTGATGTTACAGTAACCTGCAATGGCCACTGTACCTCGAAAAGTTTTGTTTCAACTGGAGCACCCGTATTTTACCCTATTTTGCACAAAAAAATCATATTTTTCATCGAAATTAAAAATTTGCAGTGCGGTAAAAACACAAAAAAAATCAAAAAAAAGCAAAATTGATGTTACAGCAACCCACTTAAAAATTGACTGCTATTCTGGCGTACCCGTATTTTACCCCATTTTTTACAAAAATATCTTGTTTTCATCAAAATTAAAAAATTGCAAAGAAAAATTTTTGATTTTACGGTAACCTGCAGTGCCTACTCCACCTCGAAAATCTTGGTGACAGCTGGAAAGCTCGTATTTTACCCCATTTTCCACAAGAAATTATATAATATGTTTCCATCAAAGTTAAAAAAAATGTCAAAAAATTCAAAAAAAAAAGACAGAAACAAAGTTGATGTTTTAGTGACCTATAAAGCCTATTTAATCTTTAAAAAATTTCTGCACTACAACTATTAACGTATTTTACCCCATTTTGCACAAAAAATTTTTTTTCTATTTTGTTTTCTCCAGAAAATTCCTTCCGAACAACTGCACAGTTCCCTATTACAGTAATCAAAGTAAATTTATCACGTAATTCACTTCATTAACGGCTCTCTGGAAGTTTCCACCGGGAAGTAATCCAAACAACCATGATGTTAGAGGGCCTTCAAACGTTAAACGCTCAAAACGGATTACCAAATGCCAAGGCATTTGAGTGGAGCCGCTACGGTGGCGGTTGAAATTAATTTCGCAACTGACAAATCGCTATGAAGATGAAAAATAAGCAAAAAATGTTTTAAGATGGAGGCAGAAGCGGTCAATTTTGATGGCATAAATTTGTGACATTTTTAGGTCATCAAATAATTCAGGATTTTTTCAGGTAGATTTTTGAGGTTTGCACTGTGCATGAAAAAAGTCATGATATTTTTGGTCGGTTTGGTGTAATGTCAAGATGAGAATGGATATCTGAGATGGTTTGTAGGTAGAGCAAGGTTTCTATTTTTTACTGTTGACTAAATTTGACATGTAGTTGCGATTTTTTTGATGAAAAAATGAAATTGAAAAAATTGCACAGTGCGGCAACACATCAAAAAATTCAAAAATGACAGTGATAAAATGGATATTACAGTATTTATATCATCCTAAAATTTTGCATGTGTGTTCTGAACTAGCCGAATCTCAATTTCTGAAAATTTTAGCTCACTCTGAGCAGCAGTCGCCGGGATAATAGCTTTATAGCTATCGATATCGCGGTAAGGGCAATAATTCTTCTATAATTTTTTCTTGAATAAACTTTATTGAAAAAGGTTTCAAAGAGCTTTATTTTGAACATAAACACATGAACTGTAAAAACCAAATTTTCGATTAACAGCAGCAACATTAACTCAGCGTTAGGATCCTTTTCTGAAGCACTTCTACAGGGTGCGCCAAAAATATTGGGACTAATATTTTTACTTGCCCTGCGGGCTGTAATGGTACAAGAACAAAGTGGTCGCTTGTGAAAACGTGTAATGCTCCCAAGAATCCATCTTCAAAGTTTCAGACAAAGTAGTCGTATACGACACCTGTTCTGCCATTATAAGTGCTCACAACTAAGGCCCCTGAGACACGGACCCCAAAATGGTTAAAATTGGTAACACTAGCTTTACCGTTGCATTCTATGGGCAGCAATTTACTTTATATGACAGAGTAGCGGTCGCTTATTATACACTAAATATGATTTTTCCTAATAATGACGATTATATCTTTTACAGCCCGCCAAAGTCGGTCTAAAAACGCGCCGTTTTCCTGAAAACTTCCATAAAATCAAAGATTTTTATGTAGAAGTTTCGATATATGATTCCCAGCATATTAGGCATCAGAGATACTTTTATAAGAACAACGAGAGTCTGAATAGTCGTCTTTGAAAAATTAATTTTTTATCTTCTGCCTCTGGGGGATGAAATAGTGACTACAGCGGTAGAATTTACTCTAAGGTTGCTCGTCAAGTGAGCTTGGACTGAAGATCGCTAAAAGTTATTCGGTTATGTCAGCGTGTATCCCAAATACAGCGTTGCGTCGATTTTTATGCTCAAATACTTTCCAACTTGTAGTAAACTGTCAAAATCTATCAAGTTTCAAAGGACCGTGCCTCCAATCCGCACCATAAAGTTTTTTCCATACAGAAACTGTCCCCTTCTAGGTGCAGATTTTCTTTTACAGTATAACAATTCCCTATGTACTCGCTCTATAACCACAAAATTTTAGAGCAACACGGGCGATACTGTGGTATTGAGATCTTCAAGAACATAAAAATCCGAACTTTCGGGAATTTTTTTAGTTTTTGCGACCAGCGCCGCCAGATCGATCGTCAACCATGATTACGCACGATGTTACGAGGTGAATAGCATGTGATTTATACACAATTAATTTGAAGAACCTTACTTTCCATTAGCGGAAATAATGGGCAAATTGATTTCCCGGTCATCCATTTGAAAAGATAATTTTGGTCCCCCAAAAACTTTTGATTATTTTTTCAAGTTGTCAATAGGCCCCAACCCTGGCATTACCGTTGCTGTATAGCACGGTAGTTACCCTTGTTAAAAAGCCTAAAATTTTTAATTTCTAGGCAAGCCGAAAGAAGCTACACGGAATTGATTTTTGTCCCAATATTTTTGGCGCACCCTGTAAAGCCGAACAAGGCTTGAAAAGACATTTTGCACCATTTTCTATAAACTACGGTAATTTTGGCCAAATTATCGCTATTGCATTGCCATTATCCTATAGTAGAACATTTCAAATCTCGCAATTCAGTGATATGATTGCAGTCTCAGCACTGTTGTGCACGGAAAATCTCATTCTTTATTGTGGAGACCTTGCCCTTACGGCGATATCGTTAAAATTTGGATCACAGAAGCCAAAGTTTCGAGAAAATGACACTCTTCTAGGCCGATTAGCAACATAAAATTTGCAGGGAGTCTGAGAACTTAATGGGTTTACAATCTCTTCGTCGGAACGTCCACTCCAACAACAACTTCCATTAATTACAAAAAGCTCTTTTGCAAATGCAACAAACATATTTAGCAGTCTTTCCGCGAACATTTCACGAATAAGACGTACTTGTTGGGTTAAACCGGAATTTCCGATGACTCCGCCGCCGCGGATTAACCCGAACCGAGCGTTATCACACGTCAGAATGAAAATAGAAGAAAAACGAAATTTCGTGAGGGGCCGCAGCGAAAAGCAACGGCCGATTTTTTTCTTCTTTCTCTGACCGCTCTCTTCCTTTTTGTGCGTGCGCCCTCTTCCTCTCGCCAATCGCAAATCGTTATTTCGCGGATCGCCACGGCTTTGACGAAATTCCCTTTTTATTTTGACGTGTATCAGAAAATTACGAGAAAAAAGAGGTTTTGGGCGGTGAAATCTTTACTCTTTCCACTTTCCACGACATCCTTGGGATGTATGACATATGTATGTAAGACATGGACTTAGTCTGTCATCGGATTGCTTCTTGCAACCTATCTCTGACCTCACTTGTACTAAGAACGAGGGTGATGTTAGCGGCCCCGTTAGACACGGATCATCCGTGTCGCAAGCAATGGTATTTTGGGGATGACAAAAGAAGGTGTTTCGTCGGTGGTCGGGCAAACGAACTACGGTCAAATATTTTGTACATCGAAGCGTAAGCTTAAAAAGTTTCGCTATAGAAAGGCTTTGTTGTGCGGATGTTTTTATGTAAAATTGAATTTTTTGAAATTTTTTGGTATAGTAGACTTTTGCATA